CTCTCTCTCTCTCTCTCTCTCTCTCTCTCTCTCTCTCTCTCTCTCTCTCTCGGTCTTCTTCTTCATCGTGGTCTTCTTGCAGGTGTGCGGCGTCTTCTCCAACCTTAGGTCCGCTATGGCGGACTGTGTCCCTCGGCGACCACCTCTGCTATGGCGCTTCAGGCCCTGCACACGACTTCGCGCATGGAATAGCGGGTACAAGCTCCGATACCAATGCAATCAGACTCGTCTCAGTCACACTTTTCATGTATGTAAACAACAGCACAGCAAACTGGCGACATGCGCCCACTCAATACTCAGAGATATGGCTTCCAGGCAAGAGTTCACTTCCACTGGCTATGGCAACTCAGCACCCAACAACTCACTGTTCACACACACTGGATCACCCTGGATATCCCACACGCGACACTCTGAACACTCACACACACACACGCACACTTCGCCCTAAGCTACAGCTATGGCAGCGCTGGCTGCCTCTACCCTATCACTATGGCTACACTTCATCACTCTTGCCCACTTCGACTTCAGGCCTGCTGCAGACCTCCTCGCACAAGACGCTGAGACAGCGCTTCCGCATGGCTTCCGCAGGAATGAATGAATGGTTGTGCGCGGCCTCTTGATTTATACTTCTGTGACTCTTTGGTCTGCCCTGTTTCCCTGGCCCACGGTGCACACAGTCCCAGGCGGTACTTGCTTGACTAGACCGAACAAACTGGACTGGGACTGCTGACTCTACACGGTGGACTTCCGCCACTTGCCCACTTGCCTGGACCTACAGTGGGCTGACTCCGAAAGGCCACTTCTAGAAACATCTACTTGGCCTTTCGGTACTGTAGCAGCTACGACTCTGCCCTTTCAGGTAAGTAGCAGCTACGGCTTTGACCCTTCGAAAAGTCTACAGCTAAAACCTCTGGACTCTCTAGACTCCTACCCGACAGGTCTACAGTTCGAATCCCCTATACCCTGTAACCTACGACGACCTATCTACCACTGGCAGTCCTACAGGTCGCGGGTTCAACTCTACGGGTTGACACAGGTACTGTACACAGGGAAGGTGGGGACTAGGGATCGAGTCCTGGGATCTGCATCAGCTACTGCGAACTGGTGAATACCGTTTCACCCTAATCTTTTCTAAGTGTTTTTTCTTGCCCAAACTGAGCACCCTTAAGTAGTGCCAAACAGTCGGTGGTTCCTCATTTGGAGTGCCTACTGCACTCTTATGGGGGCCGCTCAGTTCGGGATGTCTATGTTGCCTGTAGGTGATGATGGATGCTCGTCGGAGTGACTCCCTGGCTCAGTGGGTGGTGGGAACCAACAGTCTGCAGGGTTCAATCGTGATGTGAGTAGGTCATGTGCTGCTTTGCTCCGTGTTGGATGTGTGGACTGCCTCGTCTGCGCACCACCGCCGCCTTGCTGCCTGTCCCACTTGCTTTGCATGTTGTTAGTGTGGCTGTGTTGTCGGTGTTGCCTTGCGCTTCGCTGCTCCGCTGCCTTGCTGCCCACTCGCTGGCCGTGCCTTCCGTGTTTCCGCGCTGTGTGCCATGTCTTCCCTTGCAGTCGTTTTTGGCGTTGTGCAGCCGTGTTGCCTCTACTGTGCTGCCTGGTGCTCCACAGGGTCGCCGCCCGCTGCTGTGTTCCACTTGGGGACTGTCTGCCTTCAACAAGGGTCAAAGGGTTCATGACCCAAACCATCTAATACGGAGATTCCCGCAGATTGTCGAGGATTCAGCCTCCTGATGAGTCGGTGCAATTCCGATGAAACAATCTTTCATCATCAGTTTGTATTTTTTTCAGGCTTTGAAACTTTTATGGACTTTATTTTTTTCTGATTTGCCTGCCTTTTGTGCTTGTTGTTGTCTGCCGTCCTATATCCCTCGTGCCTATTGCTGGTGTGTTGTCTTCCCTCCCTTCTCCCCCATGCCCTCCAGCCTATGTGTTGTCTTGCTGTCTGTGGCCTGTGTTTTGTTGTTCTCCCTTCCTTGCCTTTGGACTCGACTCCACTCAGATGCGTAGTCTCCTCCTGAAGTGTTGCGATGATATGGTGCATGTTTTTTACTGTGCAGAAGTGTCCGCAATATGTGTTCACACACATCATCACACACACACACATACAGACAACACAAAAAAACGGAAAAAATGGAACGACAACGGAAAAGAAAGAACGAACATGAAAAGAAATGCATGCCACATGGCGAAGCCACGTGGATCGATTTCATTACCCTTCAAGCCCCTGCCACATCCCCCCAACTTCCCACTTCCCACTTCCGTCTTCCCCATTCCACCATTCTCCTCTCTCTCTCTGTGTTATGAACTTGGTTGTCTGATGATTTTTACCGCCACTCACACACAGATAATCCCATACACGCCCATACATGCATAAGAAAAGGGGGAGAGGAGACAGAGTCCAAACTGCACACAGATCAGAGTAGATAGCGGAAGCACAGTCATGCACAGATGGGGAGAGGACACTCAGTGTTTCTCACTCTCTGACGGAACTCCCAACAACCAATCACAAGAAAGAACCTGCGAGGATAACAATTGGAATACACACTGATGATGAGCCAAGTAACCAAAAATCATTACAGAGTTTGTTCCAGTGTCTCGCCACTCTCAGAACCCACACTCCACTCACTACCCTACACCCAGTTAGTAGCGCCACATCAGCATGGCCTCCCAGAGGCCAGCGCCAACCACCCAGATGAAGAACAGATCCTGCGATGAAGTCTTCAGTGCCGCTG